CTCTTAAGATAAAGAAATGCCTTATTAACAATATAATTCCAATAGATCGTATTTACAAGTAGAATACGTCCAATCAAATTGGAACTCTGGGTATACTACTCTAACACAAAATACCCAACCCGGCTCCCCCAACAACTAAGGAGCCATCCACATACACCTGTCACTTATTGACCTCCTTTGCAGAAGTGCACTCTTGTATAAAGTCTGCTAGGGTCTGAGCTTTGATTGCTCGTCTAACTTCAAATTCCACATTGTATTCTACGAGCACGAAGGCCTAGGGACCTTGCAAGATGTCAAGAGACAGAACTTCGAGCTCACGAGCTCGAGGGACTAGGGACATAATAAGAGGTCAAGGGGCATAACCTCGAGCTCATGAGCTTAAGGGCCCGAGGACCAATAAACAAAATACATATTTTTGAACACAAAGCAGACATACATAAAATAAAAAGGTTCGCAGCATACTTAAAAAAAGGAGGCTCGATGGCCTGATACATATGATCGAAATAGTGAAGTACAAAAGGGGCTTATTAAAAGCTAAGGAGTTGAGCTAGAACCCTCGGCCTCCATAGAAGCACCCCCCGGCTTGACCTGCCTTTTTCTCCGTTGCCTCCAAGACCGGCACCCAGGGGCAGACGCAGACTCACAGGATTGAGGGGGGCACAAACGTCACATTTACAAAGTGCAAAAAAAATGATATTTATTCTCTACATATTCTTATATATTATATCACTCACCATTACATAAATTTAAATCTCATTGAATATATCTTTTTCAAATACCGACATTTTTTTTTTTTGCATTGAATATTCTTTCAACGTGAACATTCGTGGACTTCTTTATGATAAAGATAAATATTTTATTAGTTACAAAATTAATGACAAACACAATTTAGTAGCTAATTTTAAACTTATAATTATAATTTCAAGAACATCTAAAATTCAATATGTATCAAAATCAATTTTGACTTTTGTGAAAAATAGATGTAACTCATTTATATATGTTGCCTACAACATAATACAAATACAAAATGCAAACAACTTAAATTTTAAGAAAATCTCTTTATAATTATTTTACAATATTATTATATATCTACTAATCTTTTAAAAATTTTGCACAGGGGCCCGTGCCCCTACGAGCCCCTACCTAGGTACGCCCCTTCCGGCACCCACCATGGATGGGTTCGCAGGAAGTGCGGGTTTGCTTTTCAAACCTCAGGGTTAGGCAGCCCTTTCCGGACCTCAGGGTTAGGTTGAATTAGGAGTACGTGAAGGCTGGGCGAAGGCCTGGTTCCGCTCCTATTTACCTATCACACCTGAGAAGCTATTTGCTAATCATGGGTCACCCGCAAGTTCCTTATGCTCTTGTTTGTTTGGAAGGATGAGATTGGACTAAATTAGTGTAAAGGTGAGGAATTGAGCTGTAGGGATAAATATAATGATGTGTTTGTTGTGTTTGATAAGGTGTAGGATACCTTTTTTGATTTTTTTTTTTTTTTTTTGATGGTACAACACGAGAACACTAACGGGGCCGTATGGGAGCATTTTGAAGGGAATTAAGGAGCTCTTGAGTCGCCTATGGGTTGTGGAGATTAATCATGTCTATCGAGAAACCAACTTTGTTGTGGAATATTTGTCGTCTTTGGCGTCTAAGGGTTTGGGTGGCCTTCATAGATTGGAGCGTCCTCCGCCGGGGACAAAGCATATGGTTATATCACGATATTACTAGAGTGTCGCATATGGTTATATCACGATATTACCGGAATGTCTTACCCTCAGAAGATCTTACTATAGTTTTTACATAGGCCTCGCCTCACTTTCTTGTACCAAAAAAAAAGTAATGATCATCTGTTTTGAGTTTGAGACAAATCACCATTAAATCTACTCTAATTTTTAAGTTAACATTATATTCGTTTGTAATTATAAATTCTTTTTAGAAGTAATATATTTTACTATTTTATCTTTGTTAGACACAATTTTTTTAAAGATTTCTCATCCGACTACATCCACTTTTCTCATCATTCTTATGATTCCAATATTTGGTATTTGATGTGCATGAAATAAGTTTTAAACCTTCATCCAGGTGAGAATAACTTTAAATTTCATACATATGTTTGTCCTTTTAACCCAAGATCATGTCCAACAGTTTCGGTGTGGTTTGATATACCATTTGTCCTCCTATAGCCCAAATTTGAACTTGTCTTACTTGCATCGGCCCAATAATAAAGATATCCAACAATAATGTTGGCCCATTGAACCATCCTATGATCCAAACCCATTTACGGCACACCGCCTAAAAACATAGAGAGAGAGGTAAGGTAAATTCCGCCCAAATCACATTCCCAGCGAAAGAGGTAAATTCTCTCTCTGTCGCCGGCGACAAGCCCTGTACGGCCGTCGAAGCACACGATCTCTCTATCTCTCTCTCTGCCGCACAATCTCCGGTAAATCCGTATCCTTTCGCCGTAGAACGTCGTGTAAAACGACAGAGGCTAATCGCGACCAAAATATATTTTTTCTTTTTTTTTGGTTACTAAGTTCTTATGATTTTTACAGAGAAGAGCTGTCTCTTTTTTGCTTCTCTTATTTGTTTGTTATTTTACGTGTTTTAAATTGATCATCAAAATCTGCAGATAATCTTGTCGAGCAGTGATGAAGGGTGAATGAATAAGCACCTTTCAACACTTTTGGGTTTTGGCTTTGCTTTTAGTTTATTTATTTGTTGTAGGCCATGAAATAAATGGAGGTGCCTAATTATGCTTTACCATTTTGTACAGGAATCCAGCATCATGACAAGAAGGTAGTAGATGTATTCTGAGTAATTCTTTTGCAAAAAGTTAAAAAACTAAACTTTATTCCTGATATATAAGTATGATAATTCATGAGTTGATTGTTCTCCTTTGCATGACAACTATTATCTTGTTGATTTGATTTGTGCGATATTTGGTGTAGGGATATTTGGGGTTGGAAACCTACTCGTTACTCTGTCTTTCTGCGAAGTAAGATTGTTAATGTTAACTCTGTGTGTGTGTGTGTGTGTGTGTGTTTGTGTGTGTTTGCTCCTTGTTAAATTACTCTATTCATTGTGATCTACTCTTTAGGAAACTTGGGTTTGTGCATAGCTGTGCCTTGGACTTTGTATGCTCTCTCTTCATACTTGTGAGTGATAACTTTTTTTTCCAACCCGATCAACTTACTCTCCTCCCTCTGGTACTGATTTATTTGGCCTTTTCTTTTTTCACTGACTAATTTGTTCTATTTCCTTGGATTACCTTATCAACTGCAGCTTGGATCTTGATGGTAATTGGTATGTCATTTTATATCCACCACTCTCATGTTAGTTATTTTTTTATTGTTTGCAATACATACTCATTACACTCTTAAGATATTTAAGTAAGAGTTCTCCCATTGCAGGAAAAGAAATAAGGAAGAAAATCGAGTTATGATGTGAGTTTGCACCTTTTTTTTTTTCTTGTATCAAATAATGTGAAATATACGATTTATACTTTGTTCTTTATCTCTATCCCATAGGTACATAGGGAATAGAACATTTTTTTCTGCATTCATTGATCTTATTACATCCAAATTCTTCCCCAAGGGTGATATTTTCATTGGATCCCAAATTGGCAGTCTTTGTGAGCTTATTTTTGCAGATATGCATATCAGTGTGCCTTTATTTTCCTTTTCATGACGATTATTTAATATGTGATATTGTGTTGGTTTTATTGACACTTCATCAATGGAATTTCAAAGTTGTCATGTTGTTTGTTGTTATTGCAGCAAGAAAGCCATGAAAAACCTGGATATCGTGAGGAAGATGAGGTTTGAGTAAATTATTTATTTCCTCTTGGGCATTCTATCTTGTTAGGTTGAAGATGGTGCTGTTAGTTTTTTTGCCACTGAAATTTTGTTGATAAACTATTGGCAGGGAGGAAACGGAGCATTCGGTTATGAGGTATGCATCTGGTTCATGATTAATCTTACACCACAAATTTATGAGCCCCCCTCTTTTTTGTATTATATTGAACTCTGTTTTATATGGAGATATAGAAGGATTATGAGGTAGATGGACAGATAGAAGGAAAAACATCACGTTTTTGCTCCATTTTTAACTAATTGAACTTGGCCCCTACCATTAAAACAACCAACACTAATAAACTCATAACTATAAAGAAACTCAAACATCAACTAAGATAATGACATTTCTCGGTCACCGGGTCGATCTCTCCAATTTCCCTTCTAACAATTGAATAGTCCTTTCATCTCCATCCCAATTTAAAAAACCTAAACGTTGCCAATTTCGATTGAGTTCACCGCCCTTAGTGAGAAGATGGCAACGACGTAGCACCGCGAGGACTTGAAATCCGAATTTGGGGGTAAATACTAAATAGTCAAATCTACGAGTTTGGAAATTTGTGAATTTAGGCAAACGGGACAACACTATCTTTGAGGAAGGAACAATTAAGGACTGCGATTTTCAAGAGCACTAGAATTTCACGATTTGTACAGTGTTTGGAGAGGGCTGCTGCTTTGTTAACTGAAAAGTGAAGGGTAGTGTGATAATTTGAAGTTTTAATTGCATGGGGGAACTGAGAAGAAGTACTAGGGTATATTTTAAATAATATATAGTTATATTATTGTGTTTAAATATAGTATAGTCGGTTTGGTTATTTCAGAAACAAATCACAACAGACTGAAATAACCGAGTAAGGTCTTAATATTTATCATTGTGAAACCAAACAAAATTCATTATTTCTGCTGGTTATTTTGGTTTAAATCGAAGTTTGAACATCCCTGGTTGTAATGTCCTGCATTAGATTTTGATTGCCAAGTCCTGTGATTTGTTATCATTACTATGTGTGTTTGGACATTGTCACATTGACACGTGAGATGTTTTCTGTGCAACTCAGGTTAGAAGCAGAAATCGCAAGTGAAAATGCGAAGAGCAGCGGAGAATAGTGGAGTCTGAAGCTAGTTCTAATTATTGTAGTACTTGGCAGAACATATGCTGTTGTGGTCTTATGCGGTGGTATAACTAATTAGTCTTTACCTTTATGCATTCACCTAAATCTTTGGATTCTTGTATTTTTCTGGTTTTATGTCTATGTTGGCCTTTATTATTATCTCTAGTGAGTTTTTTTTTTTTTTTTTTTTTTTTTTTTTTTTTTTTTTGAAAAAACAGTATTTTTTGGTTATTATTGTTTATTCTTGAATTGAAGTTTGAACCTGTGAGTAAAATCTCGGATTGTCAAGTCCCGTGCTTTGTTTATCATTATTATTTGAGTTTCGACACATGAGATGTTTTCCGTGTGACTCGGGTTACAAGCAGAACTTACATGTGAAAATGCGAAGAGCAGTCTGAAGATGGTTCTAATTAACGTAGTACTTAGCAGAAAACATATGCTTTTGTGGACATGGAGTGTGAATGTGTTAATTTGGAACTAGGGCTGCAAACGAGTCAGAGTCCAACATTAAGTTTATTGAGCAGGATTTATTTTCTTTTTTTAGCTGCTCGAGCTCGAGCTCGATTTATGAGGCTCGAACTCGACTCGATAAAAAATTACAAAAGCTTGATCTCGGTTTGATTTTGGCTCGAATTTTTTTTTAAATGGAAAAGTAAAATTATCATTATGCACATATGTTAATATATATATATAAGGAGTATTTTAGTAATTGATTTGTATCTCGAGTTGCTCGACAATGCAATATATGAGCTCGAACTCAACTCGAGTTTGGTCAAACTCGAGCTTGAGCGGAGCTTTGACTCGAGCGTCCGCGAGTGGTTCGACTCGTTTGCAGCCTTACTAGGAACTTTTTACTTGTTTGGTCTTATGGGGTGGTATATATCAAGTACGTAACAATTGAATAAATGGCGTACAAAATGTTAAAATGAGGTAGGAAATCTGCATAAATGACGACTAAAACAAATAACTAAATTGATGGCAGAATTTCACACACCCAATGGAATCTAAGAGTGATGATGTACGATTGTTGCAGCCTTTAATTGAGTCTGTGTGAGTTTGTGTTCTTTTGGAGCCGATTTTCTTCCTTATGCTTTCATCAAGACTTGGACAAGATCCTCCTATTCGAAGCCGAGATCTTCTTATGCGATCCTCCTTGACCAGATTCTTCATTTCTCTTTAAAAGATGATCTCCCTAAAATAATTAAAACAAAGATTACAGAAATATAATAATGCTAAGGAGTCAACTGTTGGCTCCATTACGGAGCCAACAGTCAATGGGACAGCTCCAATATGGGACAACCTCACATGAAGTTGTCCTATTGGTTGTCCCATTTAAATAAAGTCTATTAGGTATTTACATGTACTAACCATATTTAACAAAATAATATCTAACTAATTAAATTAGACATAATTAAATGAGAGAGAATTGAGCGAATAGCAGAATACACCCTTTTAATTCATTTGCTTCCAAGAAAAACATCAAAATATATTATTTTAAAACTTGTTGACAAAAATAAATCTTACACAGTCGAATGCATTATGCTAGCTATTTACATTTGCGAATTATTATTTGAGTATATATTGTCAACATTCTTAAAGTAGTAATACATTAAACTTGAACGAGAATCCTTCGAAAAAAAAAAAAAAAATGGTGTCGAAAGCATTGCTTTTAAAAAGAACATATAATTATAAACGAATAATATTGTTTTTAAGTGATTTGTCTTCAAAATAAATATTTATTACTTTTTCTTTTCCAATGGAGTTTTAGAGAATTTTTTTAAAATGAAATGAGAAGTATATATTTTGAATATTTCATTCCAACTTGACAATTTCAATGATATCTATTAATATATAATAAGGATTAACATAATTCATTTTTAGAATCTGTTTCCCGTCAATTTCATTAATTACATGATGAATTTAGAATTTTAGAACAATTTGGGATAAGAAATTAATGAGCATCCATAATTTTCTGAATAAATTGATATAATCTAATTTTTATTCAATTTTTAAAATTTGGTTAGATATTGATCTATGGAATAAATACATCCAGAATTTTAGTAATAAACTGATACAATCCCAATTTGCTAATATGTAGGCAAAATCTATGGAACAATATAATTCCGGCATGGACATGGCCGTGCATCTCCGCTGCTTTCTGTTTGACTCCACAATTAAAGTTATATATATATATATATATATATATTATTTTATGTTTTAGAATTTTTAATACAATGTATAATTAGAAATAAAAAATTCTACAAATTTATTAAAAAAATTACCATTTAATCATTTGTATTCTTATAACTACAAATGGTTTTTTTTTTTTTCATGATAAATTACATTAAACAATATTTTCATATCAATATTGTTTTACATTATCTATATCTATATATATAAAATAAGAATATAAATCAAATATAATAAGTATTTCTTGCCATTATGCATTAATTACATCTTAATTATAGTAATTTTACACAATTCCTTAAAAAAATATTCAATAATATTTGATTAAACACTAAATCCAGTTTTAACTTACCTCGACAACCGGATTTATTGTTTTAAAAAAATATTCAATAATATTTGATTAAACACTAAATCCGGTTGTTTGGAATCAATCTATAT